TGCGGGAGACAGCTCGGTGGGTCACGGACGGTGCATCACTGGCACCAGGCTGTCGGGTCCCCGCGCTGCCCAGCTGTGGAGGGCCCTGCTCCGTTTCTGGGTTGTTTCTGCCCAATTGTAAGCATGCCCCTAATAAACTGATCACACGCTGCCTATAAAAAACTGATTCAAACGCCCTACATGAGTCATTTGCAGGTAGGGAAGCCTGGAAAGGCTCCGGATTCCCAGAGGGTCCTGGTGGAAAGCTGTGGCTGAGCTCCCTGGGGGCTCTTAGCCGCCTTCTCTCCTACAAGTGGCTGGTTGAGGGGAGCAGCGCCATCCTGCAGGGCTGGATACCTCTGCGGGATGAGTGCGGTTTGCTGTGCTGATGCCAGGCCCCCGGGATGAAGTGCAGACCTTGGTTTGGGGTCCTGAAGCTTACACCAGGAGAAGCAGCATGCGTGAAGCCTGCCAGAAAACGGTGCATCCTGCTGGTGCCTTTGGCAGGGCACAGGACGGTTGTCTCAGCTCTGTCCCCCCACCCCTGTTTGGCTCAGGACGGTTCTTCCCAGCCCTGTCATCCTCAGGATGTTTTGGAAGGCGCCGGATGCAAAACAAGGGTATTCTCCATCTGGAAAAAATCTGGAAAGGGGAAGCTGAGCCTTCATTTTTCATTAGATTCCAGCGCGTTATGGCATATCCCATTTTCCTGTTAATTACGCGCTGTTCATTTTCTCCACCTCATTACTTACCACCGCACCTAGAATTCATATTAATTTGCTTCAATCGCGTTTGCCTGGTTAAATTCTAAACAGTTACTCATTCAGAAAGGAAATTATTACCTCGCTCTGCCAGGACTTCCACTTTCCCTTAATTTCCCTGGAGCCTCGTTTACTTTCCTTGGCTTTTTTTTCCCCTCTCTGGGTCCCCTTGGGCTCTGCTGGGAGCGTGCACAGCATTTGTGCCGTCGTTGGCTTCCTCCACGTGTGCCAGGTGTCTTCGAGGAAAGCACTTCAGGTTTTTTGCAGGCATGCTCTTATAGTTCTGTTGAGTTTTTTTCCCTTTTTCTATTCCTATTTTATGCCCATTTTGCTCCTCAAGGAAGCATAATGGAAAACCAGGAAGTTTTTTTGCTATGGGGGACAAAACAAATATTGCATCTTGCAGAAAAATATTGCAGAAACTTCAACCCATTTCGCTCCGGAGGCAAAACGAGCAGCTAGTCCTCCTCGGGTCCTTGCTTGTGCTCGTGCCTCGTGTCTCTTTCCTGGCCTGCCTCGAGGTTACTGCTCTTGCCTGGCCACATTCCCGCTCCTCCGGTTGTTCGGTCGCTTCTCCGAGCAGGTGACGGTGCTGTGGGAACGGGAAAAGGCTTTCAGCGACTCCTGGCAGGTTGTGACAGAAGGGTAATTGTAGCTACAAACTTCTTTGTGAAGGGAATCATTGTGCTTTTTAAACAGACCATAAAAATCTCCAGCGATGCCGATGTTGGAACAGTTAAACAGCGATTAAAGACGCCGGCGCTACAAGACCTGGGCATGTTATTTCCAGAGAACATGTCAGCAGCTGCTGGATTCCTGCCGTTACCATGCGGCACTGGCAGGCACCGGGGTCTTTATGGAGGCGGCGGCGTTCTGCTCAGCGTTAATAAGCGAGTGGCGCGGGTCCCGAGCTGCCGCCGAGCACCCTCGGGGTTTCAGCTCCGTGGCAGTGACAAACCCTGTGCCTCTTGTGCAGGGTGTCCCGGTGGCTCCGGGACCACAACAATTTTCAATTTTTTTTCAATCCCGTGCTGTCACTCCCTCTCTCTGTTATTTTATGCCACCCTCTTGTATCAGAAATAGTTTGTGATAGGACTTTGTATATCTAGCGAGAAAATTCCCTCTTCCCATATTTCTTTTCACTCTTGAACCAAAACTATCCCGAAAGAAAATTGGGGTGAGCGAGGGGAGGAGGAGCTTCAGCAACAACCCCCAGACATTGACCCTTAAAAACTGCTGGGAGTTGAGGTGTGCTGACTGTGCTCGTCTTAAGTGTCTCTAAAATGAATCTCTGGTACATCACAGGTCTGGCTGCCTGTAGTCCTGGGAGAACAGCTCAAAGTGGCCAGTGGTGCTGGGAGCTGGAGGAGGTGCTTTGGGGAGAGCGTCTGCTGCCCGGTTCTGCCCTGTTCCCACCCGCGTGCCGGTGCTACGGGTACGTATTGTACGGGACAGAAAGAGGGACACCGCTCAGCAGCTCTGCTGCAACCCGGGAGGATGACAGGGACGGGGCTTGGGTGCAATCCCTCTATCTGGGCTGGGGAGACCCAGCGGGGTTACCCCGAGCCTGGGCTGCTGGCGCGCAGCCAGGGCGTTGAGTGCTGGCGCTGCGCGTGCAGCAGAAATCCCAGCCCACAGGCACCGTCAGGGCTCTCGTGAGTTTATTTGGTTTCAGACAGAGGGGTCAGAGGCTGGGGGTTACATTGGAGGGGTAACCTGCTGTTTTCCTCCCCAGTGCCCACGCCCTATGCGGTGACGGAGGCGCGCTTGCGTGCCACGAAGCTCAACACGTCCTTGCAGTCTGTGCGGACATCACTGGGTGGCCACGGCTGGACCTCGCGGAACTTCACATCGAAGCCGGCGCCCTCCACGGCTTCCACCACTGCATTTCTCTCCAGGTAGAGGCACGAGAACACCTGCTTGTTGAAGGCGTAGAAGGTACCCTGGAGGGTGATCAGCATCACCAGATGCCCCCCCGGCTTCACGAAGGCACCGATGTTTCGCAGGGCGCTGCGGAAGGCGGCCAGGTCCTTGCAGGCAGCCTCCAAGCAGAAGGCAGAGACGACGCAGTCGGCGGGCAGCAGGGACACGGGGGCCGCGGGGTTGGCTTTGGTCACGTCGCACTTCAGAACCTGCTTCACCCGCTGCCTCAGTTTCTCCTCTTTCTCAGCCCACTTCTCACTAGTGAGTAAATAAACAAATAAAGAGATGAAGGCTCATTCTGTGGTCGGTGGAGGGCCGTAGGAAGCCCCCTCTCACCTGTCCCCTTCCAGCTCACAGACGTATTTCACCACCGGCCTCCAGTCGAAGGCTCCCGCTTCGTTTTTCAGCCACTTCTCCAGCTCCCGGCGGTTCTGGTCCGTGTAGTCCAGGGCGATGATCTCCTGAAAGCGCTCGCAGGCAGACAGAAGCTGGTAGATGGTGGGGCCACAGCCAACATCGATCAGGGTGTCACCCCTCAGCCCGTCTGGTGCAGAGTGGGGGACAAAAGCATCCCAGTGACGATGGAGACCGTGCCCCAGGACAGAAACATCCCAGAGCCCTGCTGGGCTGTGCTCCCCCTAGCCCAGAGATGCCACCCCACGTGCCATGGGGCCAGCAGCCCACCCTGGGGCAGGGGCAATTCCTGCTTCTGGAGTGAGGCAGGGACCCCCGCCAGCCTCCCCAGGCTGGGTGTGATGGTGCTTGCAGAAGGCGTGGAACAGCATCAGCTGGTAACGCCCTGTATGCGTAGATATACGTCCGTGCATACGTACATATATAAAAAGGAGCGTGTGTGTGTATCTACTGAGCGCAGAGCTGGCTGTGTGCGAGCCCACAGCCCACGGCCAGCTCTGCGACGGCCCTGTCTGACATTGCCCAGCACCCCAGGGACTCACCCAGGGAGAACATCGTGAACAGGCTCCTCAGGTTTTGGATCAGAAACGCGTTTGGCCGTCCCTCGCTGTCACTCAAGGTGTAAAACTCTTTCAAATACTCCTGAGGGTTGAAACTCCGCTGGTAAACGTCCACACCCGTGAAGACGGCTGGAGCCTGCATCCTGCCCTGTGGAAGCTCTGCCGCTCTCACCTCCTGCCCTGCGTTACGTGGCCCCTGTTATACTCTCGGTTATGACCTCCCTCCTGTGTCCTTTGCTCCTGCTGGACACGTATGCACTCTTGGGCATGCTCCTGTTCCCGAGCAGGATTTTCCCTTGCTCTCCATTTTTGTACCACAGCCCGACAGCTCCATAAATGCCATTAACGCGTCCGACACTGTTGCTCCTTAATAGCAGATTGAAACCAGCATGTTGGGTAATCTAACGTGGCGTGGAGATTCCAAGGTCATTAGACACCCTGGCAGGGGTCTGTCAGTCCCCCCCCCC